TAGAGGAGATTAAATGAGACAACTATCTTTAAAAAGAAAAAAGCAGATATTTTGATATTTTATTCGCTACCCTGACTAACTGGTAACATTCATCAATATCGCTGCACAAATGACAATTTTTAGCTCTTTTTTTCTATAGCTAATTTGGAAACAAATAAAGCATAAAAAATTAGACAGCATAACTTCTGATATAAAAGGTGAATGCTTATTGGGCTAGATAAAAAAGGATTATAAAAAAACTCTGTTTCTTCTTCTAATTTTTGTTAGCGTCATCAACGAATCTAACTAAATACTTAACATTTTATACATTCAAATGCAGACAATTGAATTCAAGTAAACTTAACAAGGACAGGCGACACCCTTTTTTTTTTGCAGTCTAAATGATTCCAACAAACTTCCACCAAAAAATTTAACAATACCATTCTTTTTTTCACATCCTTATGGCATCTTCTGTGCTCCAAACTAACCATCTAATCTTCAACTTTTCGAACAATCAAAATGGGTGCAGAGAAATCAAAAAATCAAGCTTTAGCCCGTGCACTAGATCGTTCTCATTTTAAAACACCCACTGAATCATCAATACCACTAACGTTATTTGTCAGCTAGAATTATTTATAAAACTAATGTATCTTGAACGACGACTGAAATCAGCTTTATTAAAAACCTGAACTTTAAAAAGGATAATTAAACAATGATAAGATTCAAACTTGAGTTGTTCTTGTGCCTTTAAGTAAGCTTCATCCATTTGCATCGGTTTTGGCGATGGGCGTAATAACTGCGATTGTATTTCCCGTATACGCTCTTTACGAGCCTTTAAAGCCGCTAATTTCTCGCTGTAAATAAATAAAGTAACCTTCAAATAATGAAAGCACAAACTTTTATCTTTTCTTTAGGCTTATCAAAGAGATTTTGTTGTTTCTGCATTATAACCTTTACATTATGCTATATCTTAGCTGGTACTACTTTTTATCCAAAATCCTCTGTGCCACTAGTTTAATGCCAAAGCAGGAACTATTCAAAAAGGCACAACATTGCCCACTTCTGAGCATTCTAATGAAAAATCTATTCTAAACAACAGCATGATTATATATTACAAATAAATTCTTCCAGCTACATCAACAAAGCCTATACCAAGCGTTTAAATATCATTAAACTTTGTCATAACCTCGACAAAATTCACCAGCACCAGTATTTTAAAGCTATTTGAAAACTTGAGAGAGAAATAAAACCTTTGAAAAATTCTTAGCGACTACTACGAATGTCTAACTACTTCCACAAAGTGTAAATAGCACTAAGCAAACTTTAAATTTTTCATGAAACTTCAGAATACAAAAAAAAAAACTTTCAGTCAACTAGCAGTAACATGCAACGAATTCAAATCACTGATTAACCGTAAACAATTAACACTTGATCAAATTTCACAAAATAAACTTCAAATGGATTAACACATATATAAAGCGTCGATATCACAACGAATCAACTGTCAATTTAACGCTTAAAAAACCCTAAGAAGCGAAAAAAGAATTTTACAAGATCTCATATCTGAACTGCCGATCAAAAGCTTCTGTTATACGACAGTACAAAAACAGTTTTAACACCCCGAAAGAACTATGAAACACTATATTATAAAAAAAATACAACCAACAGCAGTAAAAAAAAATAAAAATTTTAAAAACTATATGTCAACA